CCCCCCCCTGTTGGGCCCGGCTCAAAGGGCTCTTATATAGTCGTCCCAGTTGCACGGAAACACCACGGAATATCTCAGTGGTTTTCCTGTAGCGCCGTGGTTCAAATTTAAAATTTAAGACTAGGGATCACTTATCACATGGACGGGCCATGTGGCGCCCGGTGACGATTGAGCTAAGTGGGCAGGGGTTGGGGTGCGGGGCGCGCGAGGAGCAGCGCTGCGAGAGGCTCAAGTGGGCTGGCCCACCCTAGCTATATTCAATTAAGCCAACGCTTGACGCACGCTCCTGCAAGCGTTGGGCACGCTTGGCGGAGCGCGCGGGCAGCAGGCGAGGGGCGGGGTGCGGGGAGGCGACGGTGACTCTTCACCTCTCTTCACCCTGCCCCCCGCCTCCCGTCTTGCCCTCGCACGCTTGCAGGAGCGTGCGCTGCGCCGAGCGTGCGCTAAGCGTGGATCTTAATTGAATATAGCTCCTGGCTCGGCGCGAAGCAAGGGATAAGGGCGCTGTGTTTATAACACAACCAGGGCGATGACAGCGGACTGCTACCGGGGACGAACGGAACGGCACGGACGGAGAAAACGCTCGCCCCTATACAGAGAATCTATATTATCAAAACTGGAAACTTTTACCTTCGGATAGAGACAGACCAAGGGACTGTCTAAAAAGTCCGATGAGTCCAATGCGCAAGGTCCGGACGGGTCGCACGCTCCCGGCACGCTTCAGGTAAGGGTCAGGTGGGGCGGGGGCGGCGGGGCGCGGCGGCACCCTACCTACCTCACGGTAATAAAGTGGGTGCAGCGCAGTGCGGCCCGGCCGGGGGGCAAAACAAATGGCACAGCTGATCTGCAGATGTCCATTCGGCAATAAAAGTGTGGTGCACCTTGCCATTGTAGGGGTGCATAGACTGCTGAAGTATATGATTGTCATCCGGTTCCGGGCTCATCGAACGACATTCTTTCGCTGACACTTTGAGCTTTGGCTTTGATCATGCCGGTGCGGGTCCCGCGAAGATGTCGCGAGAGCCACGCGGCACGCGGCCTGTCCTCTCGTGGCCCTTCGAGAACCTCTCGCGGGCCCTCCGCGATGTCACGGAGTCGCGGGGGTGACTCGCGAGCGTTGTTGCGACAGGGCAGCAGGCCGCGTGCTGTGTACAGGAAGATAGTGTACCAGATGGCTGATTAACCCCGCGCATTTCTGTACTTAGACTGCACCGCACTCAGGAGTGCGGGCGGGCTTGCCTATCGCCCACGTCACTGCGAGTTTCCGCTCCGCATCTCGTCGCGTCGCGTCGTACCGCGTCGCCCTCGTCGCATTGCACCGCGGCTTTCGCGTTCGTGTCTCGCGCGGTCGCGGGGCCTTCGCGCGACCCGCACCGGAATGTTGCTGTCGCACGCCCTCCTCCTGCACCCCGATCTGGGTGGTTTCTAACCAAGTTGAACGAACCCAAAACAAATGACAGTTGTATGTTGTATACGTAGCAGTACTAGACGTGGGCGCCGACCGGACTTTCGGCGGCGTATCGGCCAAAATTTGGCGGCGGCGGCGGCGCCGCTGGCTGGACGCCGACGACATGCTCGGCGGCGGCGGCGTGGTCGGCGGCTACCAGAGAAATTTCCGACCTGGTTGCGAATAACGAAACACTATCGTTTGCCCGCAACACCGCCGCCGACAAAAATACTCAGCGCGCCGCCGACGCCGCCGACGACCATTTTGTTCAAATTTCAGTCAAACTCACAAAGTTAGTATATGCTCACGCTTAGACATGGGCGCCGCGCCGACGCCGCGCCGCCGCGGGCAGATTTTAGTGCGTGAGGCGGGCGAGGGGCAGGGTGCGGGGAGGCAGCGGCGGAAGAACTGCTCACCCCGCTTCACCCCCCGCTTCCCCTCTTGCCCTCCGCGCTCACGCCAACGTGAGCGCGCGCTGAGCGTTGAAACGACAAAATTCTTAACTGGATATAGCAATAGTGGATTTGAAATTTTTGACCTGCTTGAAAACACCATTTTAAAAAGTGGGCGTGATTAATTACTGTCATGGCGTTGAAATGAAGCCTGCCTTTTGGTCATCCCTAACCCAGTGAGCATTGAAATGTCAGACTGATGTCAGAACGATATCAGTTATCAGAAACGTGTCAATTTCAGGACCACATTTTTAACAATCTGATGCGAAAACCTACCAATTTCTGATATCTGACGTCGTTTCGATATCGGTCTGATATTGCATTGCTCACTGGGTAATGCCCCCATCTCCCTCCACCCTTCCTCACCCTCACCCGTTTCCGTAGAAGACAACTTTTCCTCTTGACCTTCCTCTCTTTTCACGAAAGCAAACTGGAAAGACAAAGGCGTCGAAAACGCAACGCCCCGCCGCGCACGCACGACGGACGGACCCGTCACAGTATAATGCGGATGCGTTCCCGATTGCGCCTGGTTGAGACGAGACATGTGGCGTGTGTCAACAATTGGACAAAAGACCCAATTCGAAAGAAAAGACGCAGCAAACTCACAAACGCCGAGAGAAATGGAGTCATAAAGCAATGAAGCTCTGCGGAAGGGCACGGGAAGCGTACCCCCCCGCCCCCTCCCATTATCCCTGGGCGTCGAACACTTTTATGGTTATTCATTTGCACTGCAAGAAAGAAACGCCACACTTGTATTTTCCCGGAAAACGTTCTCCCACCACCCCTCTCACCCTTTTTTTGCAGATGTAGAAGGCGCTTACGGGGAGCTCTCTGATCGCTCTCCTGAGGTGCGATTAGAGAAGTCGCTGTGAGCTAACTTGAGGAACGTTCTCGGAACGTTTCCACCCCCCACCCCCGTGCTTTTGAACGATTTAGAAGGCGCTCTAGAAGACGCTTCCGGTGAGCTCACCGTGAGCTCTCCAATCGCTCTCCTGGGCGACTGCGCTTGCCCGGCGCTGGACTTCCCTCCGCTCTTACCTGACCGGTCACCTGTACGCACGGGCATCCCGTATTAGGGAAACGGATGGTTGACCGATGCCAACGATGCCAGTGATCACATTTACAGTATTTTGGATGCATTTAGAGCAGAAAGTGAGAGGTGAGGAGGAGCGATCCCTCCCTGTCTCCTTTCCTCACCAGTGAACGCTCAACGCCCGAACGCTAAAAAAAAAAACGCTAACTGGATACCTTCCTGCTCGGATACAGCGATTTTCTGATGAAGAAACCGATCAAGTTCTATGTTTACATCGAGCGCCGCTAGAGCTAAGAGTGTGTCCGAATTCTCGAATGTGTCGACACTTTGCGATTCGTGTCGACACAAATTTGGTAGGGGGGGGGGGGCTGGTCAGCAGGGAGGGCAACCTGCAGCCATCCCTCGCGAAAGGACGTCGCGGTCCGCGGTCGTCCGCGGGGGTAGTCGCGAACCGCGACAAGCTTAAGTCGTCGATATAGGTCGGTCGCTCAGCGCTAGCGGCCGTCGATGTAAACATAGTAATGTAGGATTTAATTTAATTCAAAGCCATCACCATAATTAATAATGCGAACAAAAAAGGGGGCCTGGTGGCAGCGAGAGGTACAAATTGCAGACTGTTGTGAGAAAAATCAGTCCGGATTTGTAATTGACCATAGCATTTGAACGGGTCATCCGGTTAATTACGTTTGCCATCAGTTTGCACAGGGGTTTGAAGAAAAGCGTCGAGGCGGCGCGGGTGGCGGCTTCTTTACTGTAACGTTAACAGGGCGGCTCCATAGCAACATCCGGGGTGCATCTGTGCTCACAGCAGGTCCCGACCCGGCTTACCCTCCCCTCAGTGCCCGGCCCTGGCACGCCCCCTGGCCCCCCAGGCCCCGGGCCACACGGCCGCATAACGGTCCGGGCGGCGGCGGCCTGATCTGACCCGTCTCGGTTTGGCGGGGGTGACAGCGCAGCAATAGAGCAAGCAAGGACACACACACGAGGACTTTCCGTGTGCAAAACAAAGTGATTCGTCTTCATTGCGCGCAAGATTCCCTTTACACGTGAGCCGAGGCCCCAAGCTGTGTGAATGGGGACGGAGGGAGAGATGGGGAAGGGGGGGGGGAGGGACACAGGAGCCAGCAGGAACGACACGGATGTCCGTGGTAATTGACATGTCATAAAAAAAAAGGAACGAAAGTTGGGAAGAAAATAAATTCACAGAATTCCTTTTGGAAAACAAGGGGTGGGGAGGCGGAGGTGGAGGGTGGAGGTAGAGGCGAGGAGGAGGTGGAGGATGAAGAGGATTTGGGGGGGTGGGGAGGGGAGGTCCAGGACCGCATAAACCCAGACACTACGTAACTCAGCACACAGCACCTCATCATCCAAAACTAACAGTCTTCACTACATCCACCGTGACACAATTGAGTTAACTCGACCACTCTGACCACTGTGGTCATCCATTCCCTTATTGCCCTTAGATACCCACCCCTCTCCGGTGATGGGGGACACTCACGCGATACAGCTATCGTTAGGCCTCGGTAGCCCCGGGTCCTACGTCAGCTCAGGCACCTGGCCCAAGGCTGCGACCCCCGGTCCAGCTGGGCGCCAACCCCGAGCTCCCTAGATACTAGATAGTCCGACCGCCGCCCCCATCCCAATTGTTTCATAAGTGGTAGCGGCCGGAGCAGAGAGGAAAGGGAGGGGGGGGGGTGCTTCTACCTCTTTGAAATGGGACGCGCGGAGTATGATTGGTTGTACCGGGTGGCTGATTCACGCCGCACACTTTCGTAGTTATGCAGGGTGGCCGCTCTGCCCCGTGCTGGTCTGTACTGTAACGCATGCACGCGTGCGGGCGGGTCTGCGGGTTTGCCTATGCTCGCTGCCCACGGCTCCTTGCGGCCCCGTGCGAGTAGACATCCCGCCCGCACGTGTGCATGCGTTGTACAGTATAACTACGAAGGTGCGCGGCGTGAATCAGCTACCTGGTA